ATACACCGCCTCTGTTTTGTTCCTTGGTGTGTTTGTGGGACAATGTCGATTTTGGATTAATTATGCATCAATCTTGCTTAAGGAGACTAGGAATGAATTTTGTCGATCTTAGTGTCTTGCATGAACTTTTAATTATCCTTTTTCATTCCTAGACATAAATCATATGATTTCCTTCGAGAAGTTGAGTTATTTGGGTCTGATATATCTTGTGTGGTACATATGATGGAATAAAATCTGATTTTCCTATTTGAATTTCGAAATGAATCGGGAAGTTATTTTTGTGGGAAGTTGTGAGGTGTTTGAATTTTGATTTGGATGGGATTGAGATACCAAAAACCGCCCAATCTCTCTCTCTCTCATTACCTTGAGATGTGGAAACTGCCTTTTGCAGTTATCTATGTCAGATTCTTTTAAAACTGAACACGCAACCTATCTTCTCTCATTCATTGCCTCTTCACAACTCTCCTCCTTCTCTCTTCACTTCTCTCTTCACCGATTCAAACCCTAGTTTTTCAAAATTCTCCGTCATCATCTTTCACCCATGGCTGGTAGCAAAGACAAGTCGAAGAAACGCCATAAGAAGCACAAGGACAAGGGAACTAAGAGACGTCGGTATACAGTCGCTCTGAGTTCACCGTGTGAGTCGCCGCCACCGGAACCCTCTCAGCCGCAAGAGACACCACCTGTTACTCCGTCTCCTTCACTAGAAAAGACGGACACCGAGATCAAAACTCCTCAACCCTCTCCGATGTCCACTAATGCTCATGTTCTCTCTCCTCCCTTGCTTCAAGAAATCGTCGCCGCCACAACTCAGGGGGAGTCGTCGGTGTTTCCTACGTCTGGAACAAAGTCGACCACCAAGGACGAAGACAAATCCGATACTGCTGGTACTACCATTGAAATTCACTCCGACCAAGAGACTCCTCCTCGCCGTCCGTCTATTCGCCGATCCGTGAGGCGCGCGGGTAAAGAACCCATGGAGACCGCTCCTGTTGAACAAGAACCCGAGGATGACGACTATGATTTGTCCAACGCCTACTCTAACAGGTTCTATACTCAAGCTGCTTTTGGTCGTTTTGAGGATTTTTCTACTTATGGTTTTTGGGCTGAACATCCTCTTGGTGATGGGAAGTATGAGGAATTGGGGATTGTTAAGCTCATTGATGATGTTGGTTTGACTAAGACTGTGTCTAACCTCAGTCCTTTTTGTGGTCAAGCTGTGAGGAAATTTTATGCTGATTTTACCCCTGCTGTTTTTACTCCTGGTAGCCCTCGTTTTCACAAACTCTTTCTTAGGAATAGAGTTATTGATTTCTCTCCTAAGTTTTTGAATGTGCATTTAGGTTTACCTGCTGATGTTCCATCCTTGTCTGAAGTTATGTTGTTACTCAAACCCTTACTGATAAAAACCTTTATACCTGGCCTGGTTCTAATTTGTCTGTGAGTTCTCTGTGTCTTACCGCTAACATCCTCCACAAAATTGGTGCTGGAAACTGGACGCCTACCTCCAACAAGAATTTGCTCACTGAACTTCAGAGCAAAGTTCTCTATTGGATCATGGATGGTCAGGTGTTCAACTTTGGTGAGGTTGTTTTTTATATTATCCACTCTTTCATCATTAATTCCGAGTCTCGTCGCACTCTTCCCTTTCCTTGTCTGATTTGGTCCTTCCTTGCTGCTAACAATTTCTCTGTGAACCCTCGTTTCAATGATGCGCTTTAGAACCCCGGGAAAGCATTCGTGGTTAGTGCTCGTACCTTGAATGTGAAGGCCACTCCCAAGGCCAAGTTTGATCTTGCTCCTTCTCTAGCTCCCACCAAGTGGGATGAATTCTTGGTCCAACAGCTTGCTGGGTGGGATGCAGTGGCAAAGAAGGTTGCTACCCAGCAGGCTTATCTCCGCCAAGTACTTCAGGCTGTCAAGGGGCTGCAGCGCAAGAACTCGGAGACAGGCCCTTCGGCATCCCGTAGTTCGAAAAAGGGGGAGAAGTCCAAGAAGGCTAAGGGAGATGAGACTGAGGATGAAGAGGATGCATCTGAGTCAGAGGGAGAGTCTTCTTCTGGGTGAAGTCTGTGTTAGTTGCTGCTGCTTACTATTAGTTGTTAGGTTGTGTGTGGGAGGGATGTAGTGAGGTCCTTCTGTATTAAAGAACCTCGTATTTCTTTTGCTATTACTGATTCTGTGATGAACTTTTAATCATGTTTTCTTTATAGGATGAAGATCAAAGGAGGCTGCTGATTATTATTTTTATATTCGAGCCATCTTCAAGCTTCAAGTCTAAGTGCTTACAGATTTTGTTCATGGATTTGAGTTCTTCATACACTCGGTGATAAAAGAACTGAAATCATTTTGGTTGTATTCTTTACTTTATTTTGATTCAAACATTTTGGGAATTACACTTAGGGAGTAAGTGTGAGATAATAAGTCCACAGGACGTGGCCGGAGAATTAGTTGATAGGCTACTTCATAGTTGTGGCTAGAATAGAAGTGAGTTCTATTGTGTAAGTCCAAACTATGTTTTTGATAGCTATCAATGAAAGAGCTCTGAGGGGAAGTGAGATGCTTCCCTGAAGAGTTTTTAAATGTTTGGTTATTGATTCCGCAAATTTTAGTTTTTATACTTGTTCGTATAACGTTGAGCGCACTCGCGATAAATTTATACGTTTCAACGACAAAATGGTTGTGAATCAGTTGCTCGACTTTCCGGGTGAAAATAATCAATGTCACGAAGTTCAGAGTCTAGAAGAGATAGTGGCCGATGTCATTCATAATCCAGAAGATGATGAAGCAGAGGATGATTCAATAGATTTGCAACTGATCACTCTAAAAGAAGCATTGCAAGCATCAACAACTCTCATAACTTTTTGTTGCAGTACGAGAATACAACACCACAACTATTGGGTAGGAGATTTAAAGATGAGATCAACATAGATTTGAAATTTAAGAAAAAGCAAGTCACAATAGATTCTTATTTTACTAAGTTATCATAAGAATTTTCAAGTGTATCATATATATATATATATATATATATATATATATATTATTTTTAATAATATATATATATGGATTATTTTTAATAATTTATTAATTTATAGTTTCGTCGAAACCAATTTATATACACTCGGATCTCAAAAAAATTATTATCTTATAATTTTATTGATTGGTCCCAACTTGAGACCGGACAAATTATTAGTAGCGAGGTTATTAATTTATCGAGCATTAATTTAACGAAATTTTACTGTACATTTCAACGTTGACGCACAAGTCAAGAAACAAAAAACTTTAAACTCCGCTTATTGCAAGTTAACCATTACAAAAAGGTAAAAGTATAAAAACTAATCACAAAACTACTATTTGATGATGTAAATTGTACAAAATCAAAGTTGTAGATTATATTATACCGAGTAACCTCATTAATCGAGATCTATAATATAAAAAGTATAGCTATAATGTCCGAGCACAAGTCCATCTCCACCACATCATAATATCCAAAACCTAATATTGGTCCCTTTAACTATTGACTCAACCATATATAATCGGAGTTGAATACTGTGTGATTTGCCAATATTCCGACCTTATTCCGCTGATAATGTGGTGAAACTTTTGTTTAGTACATGGTGTAATAGAATTATTCCTTTCTAAAAGTCATAAATAATAATTTAATTAGTAATTTTTAATAAAATAACATATAATAATAATAATATAAGTGAAATTATAATTGCAAAAGGTTAAATGTAATTGTAGTGTTTCTTGTACAAAAGTCCTACTGCAATTAAAAATAAATATTTAAAAGCTCGATATGCAAAAATGTCAGAAGTGGGATTTGAACCCACGCCCTCTCACGAGGACCAGAACTTGAGTCTGGCGCCTTAGACCACTCGGCCATCCTGACAACTTGATTACAAACATGTTAAAATGCCTATCCGATTAACTTAATATTTTCAATCAATCAATCCATCAATCATGCACCTCCGGGCTCCGGTCTCCACTGGTTCTCTGCTCTACCTTTCCTCCTCACGCTGCTTTTAACCGGCGCGCCGCCACTGAAGCCGAGCCACGCCTGAGCCCACTGCCCAAGCTTAGTTAAGCTCCGTTCTCCTCTCGTTCCAATTTACTTATTCACTGGCTCCGAAGTTCTTTGTTGTATTTACAGTGAAACCTCAATAGGGGATGCTTCTGAAATTAGGGTTTGAGATATGCCATTCCAATCTCTGATTTATTTATATATTTTTCGAAATTTTGATTTTCATAGGATTAATTTAGGTGTCTTTGTTTATCAGATCGATTAGAAAATTGATATTTCGAAATTCGAACTTTTATGCATTCTCTTGCGTGTGGCCCTTTATTAAATTTTATTTGTAAGATTTGATACTTTATAATACACCCTCCTTTGATAGTTTTTGTGTATGCTTAGGTTTAATCTTACCTTAGAGCTGTGCGGTTGAAAAATGGAGCCCGAAGTGATTGAAGCGGAAATGGTGCTGCCCACACACATGAAATTTAAGAAGATTCAAATGTACGAAAAGTACCCAAAGGGCCAAGCCAGAGCCAGGTGGAAACATCTCAAACAGATTATTCAAGCTGAGAATTACCAGAATTATCCGCCAGACGAACCAAATTGTGAGTATCATCTTTAACTTATGATTTTAGCTTTTATTTATTGGTTAAAAGCACCTTTGATCTGTAGATAAAAGATTAGTACAGAGCGTGTATTTCCTACAATGTGATGGATTTGATCATATGTGTTTAAAGTGTGTGAATACTTTTCTTGTCTCTGATGTGGCTTAAGAACAAAATCCGTGCTTGGAAGTATGTTGTATTTACCCTTNTTCGTTCAGTTGATTAGCAACTGTTTTATCAATTATTCCTCTATCTGTACTTGATACATGGCCTTGCTCTGAACTCGTATTCTTCATACTGTTATTTTCAGATGTTAACATTGAGTCACCACCATCAATGCATCCATGCAAAAGAATCTGTGATATCACTGGATATGAGGTATGTTTTTCCCTTTACTCCTTCTTTTACTTGTTTTCAGGTTAAGCGAATACTATAGGTCTTTAACATAGTTGATAGGATAAAAGATTGGAACTTGTTCTTCGATTTTCTTAGTTATATGAATTTGAATCGATTAACTTAGTAATATGAGCCAGTTAACTTTTCATGGATAATAAATTTGTGAAAGCATAAAAAGATAAAACGAACTCTTTGTGCAGGCTCCTTACTTTGACCCAAGAACGAAGCTACGTTATGCAAATGCAGAAGTCTTCAAGACCATAAGATCTCTTCCGAATGATTATGTCCAAAGATATTTGGCTCTCAGAAATGCTGCTGTTGTACTCAGATAAAGCTTTTGGATGACTTTAGAATATTGAACTGACTGTAGTTATCAAAATTTTCATTATTGGACATGTTGGTACTCCTGTTGTAAGAAGTATTCCAGTAATAAGATGTGAACATCCTCGATTTTGATTGGGTGTGATTTATTTATTTGTCTATATTTGGAATATCGGCTACCTTCTGTCGTGCCCAAAAGTCTCATTTGTCTTTATAATTGTATGTTTAATCGTGTTGTGTTCTTGTATCGTCACTTCTATTAAAACTATTTCAAGAAAACCAAAAGCAGTCATTATACCTTTATCGGTCCACAAGTGTAGAGAAACTTTGCCTACGTTTGACTGAGAATCAATGGCAAATGAGTAAGGGTGTTCATCGGTTGAAACCTAACTGAACCAACTGTAATTTGTGGTCCAGTTCAGTTTTAAATCAAAATTAAATTGGTTGGATCAGTTCGGTTACCGATTAACAAGTAAAATGGAGACTCAATGGTAAGGGTCCAGTTATTCTCAATTTATCAGCTGCAGTATTATTTTATGACCATTTATGTATCCATGCAACTTTTCAGCATGTATTCATTCAACATTGCAAAAAATCCAGATTCTTTGCACCAAAAAAATAAATAAATAAATAATCCAGATTCTTATCAGTCAAAGTCCCTACAAATTAGTATTGCCAATTTCACGCTTTAGATAATTTCTCACGCATCAAGTCATAGTTATTTCCGGAAAAACAAACAGCCCCATACGTTTTTATTACCTGTGCCCAATTTCACTTATATACATATGTGCCTCAAATTTATCCATTGCTAATCACAATAATCATTCTTTTTTTGTGTAGAGAGATATATACAAAGAGATAATGGACAAATCATTTTTCACATTCCTCACGCTTTGCGCGGTTGTACTCTCCGCTCTGCCAGTGTCTAACGGAGTTAAGCCGGTAGGAGCCCACGACTACCCCAAATCAGTCCAAAATTGGTATAAAAAAATCGCTAATACAAACGAGAAGGTGACCCAGCTTCATTTCTACCTTCACGACCTTGTCAGTGGGCCCACCCCAACAAACGTCCCAATTGCAGCGGCCAACTCAACTGCTCAATCGGCCACCTTATTTGGGCTGATTGGAGTTATGGATGATTTGCTCACTGTTGGGCCCAGCCCAGATTCTGAGACTGTGGGCCGGGCCCAGGGGCTTCTCCTGGCAGCCTCACTGGAGGAGATAGCGTATCATATGACGTTTAACGTTGTTTTCACGAATAGAAAGTATAATGGTAGCACGCTAAGCCTGGTCGGGTACAACCCGTTTTTGCACGAAAACCGTGAGCTGGCGATTGTTGGCGGGTCGGGTTTTTTCCGGCTGGCTCGGGGCACGGCTGTGTTGAAGACCCTGAGTTATAATTCTACATCGGGTGATGCAATTGTTGAGTACAATATTATGGTGTTACATTATTAGTTTTGTGAAGTTAGTTAAATTTGTGTGGTAATGATTATCTCATAAGGATTAGTAAAATGGCAATAAGTGTGTTTTTGAGTGGCGTAGCCTCGTATGTATTATATAGTTCATATATTTGCTAATAAAAGAATTCGAAATGGCATTAGTCATTAGTGATGTTTTTCCCTTTTATCAACTCTATTATGCATGTTGTGGTTTTTGGTTAATGTCCTACGGAAAGAGAGACAAAATTATTTTTGTCAATGTTTGAAGCTGAATTAAAAGCACATTTGGATATACATTTTCATAGTATTATGCTTTTAGCAAAGGAAGCCTGTTGAAGAGAGAAAAAAAAATGTATGATGCATTTTGTATTTACTTCAATTCAAAATGAAATAAATTACTTCGAGATTTACAGGATGAAATTATTGACCTTTGCAATTGGGAAAGTTGAGTAAATATTAGGTTTATTTGATTGAGGCATGTAAGATACCGGATTAAAATTTCATGACATTTGGAATTCCAACTTTTTTTTAATCAGAATTTCTGTAATACACCTCAAGTTATCAAAATTTGTATTAGTTAATAGGTTACTATAATTGTTGGGAGTTAAATAATTAATTGTGCACATTAAGCTATTTTTATACCTACAAATTCTTGTTTTGAAGTGGAACCCACAAAACATTTTTAAAACAAATACACTATGCTATAAAATATCATACTTTTGTTTATGTTGTATTCAAATTGTTTATATTGTTTTTATGAAGTATGACAATGTTATTTCAGTTTGAAAATATATACATACATGTTAAAATACATTACTGTTCCACTACAAACATTTGGCACTATTAATAGTGTCTACCATTTTCAGGTCATACAACGGCCATTTTCAGCCCTATGTATATACACAGAGCTACAGCATAAATTTTAGTGGTTTCTTATAGCACTCTCACAAAGCAAGTAAAATTTTTTAAACCAAAAGAGCAGAACTTAAGCAGCAAAATAACTCACTTATTCAGTTCTAGACAGCAATAGCATTCTAAAAATTTCAAGGCAATCAAACGTCTAAAATTATTACAAACCAATATTAAAGTACCACAGAGTAGAATTTCACCGTACGTTATGGAAAGCAACCGAAGAATATGGTGTCTTCTGATCTGAGCATTCGGGACTTCTGGGGCTCGAGCAAAAAATGCAAATGTCCTGCAGATTCCTAATCCCAGTCTTCTGCCTATACCTGATGGTCAACAATGAAGAATAATCAGGCTTCATCCAGAAAAATCAAGCAAAGATTCAAATTGACATGTAAAACTCAAAACCGATCGAACTGATATAAATAAATCATAATCTATATCGTTATCCCACAACATATATATATATATATATAACTAATCGGTAACAAACTGCACCATGAAATCTGAATGTCCGGTGCATAGAACTTAAAAGAACAAAAAAAAAAAATGGAACTTTTGCTATATCCAATGAAGCTCTCCAGCCATTCAACAGCAAAAGAGTAAATCTTTTTATGTGAATGGATGTGTGAATAACACATTGGAGAAAAGTGAATAATATTGCAGTTAGAATCAACTTCAAACACCAACAAATTAAATGGAAAATTTGCTCTCTGTGCTCCAGTGTTCTAGCTCTCATAGCCACCCATTAAAAGCTAATAAAACAAATAAACCAAAGAATAGAGAGAGTGCAGATGATAGACAAGGAGCTAAAAAGACCCATTAATCGAAAAATACAACTTAAGAAGAAATTCTCAATATACGGAACCTTGGATTGTGAAAAAAAAAAGCATGAAAAAATACCTATGTCGTTCAACGATCACGCAAAAGGCTGCCCATCGTGAAAAGCATATTTATACTGTCCAACTGCCGTTACAATAAAGCACTATCAACTTTCATCATCATCATCATAATTATCCGTATTGTGCTTGTTGAGAATAACCCATTAACTTCTTCACCAAAGGGATCAAGCCAATCAACACAATCTGCAGCTGCTCGGTACTATTGATTTTGACGCTAAACTGCCCGGAACCCCTGTTGCTAACATTTAGACGGCAGCCCAAGTTCGTGTACCGCCCAATAGGAATCTGAATCTGAGTATTGCAACCAATAGCAGGATCACCATGCCAATCCATGACGGAAATCCCTAAGGTCGAGAAAAACCTTCCCAAAGGATTTTCCTTGTCCTTAAACGTTGCTTCGAGACTACCACCATACGCCACCTCCCCACGGCCATAAATTGCGCCTCCCGAAATAACAACTTGCCCCTTTTTACCGATTATTAGTTTGTCCTCTAATTTCACTCCGCCAGTCACAACGTCTCCTAAAGCAGTAGCCGAGAGACCAGCAACCGCCTTATTTATCCTGTGATTGCAAAACCGAGTCTCGCCTCGTAGGGTGTAGGCATAGTCCTTGCCAACAGACTGCATGTCAAACCCAAGAGAAGTTGCTTTGCCTTTCCCATGCTTTACAGAACTCGCGATTTCCATCTGAAGGTTGGTGTCCTTTTTATCCTTTGAAATGTGGCCCGAGAATGATATCGGCACTTTCTCCTTCAATGTGAACAGTTTCTCAATGTTAATGCCATCATACCCGATATCATGGTCCCACCCATTGGGTTCCAAAACAGCCCTCACGAGCCAGGTATTAGAATCAAGCGAACGGTACCGATGAGTTGGATTATCAGAATCGAATGAAACGGGCAAAGCCAGGTCTGGCATGGGAACTGGTACGGACGAAGCACCACCCGTTTCCTCATCATTATTCTCACCATTCTCAGCAGGCAAATCCTTAGCTGCCTCCTGCAGCTTTTTCATCATCCTCCGCCTTCGCCTCTCTTCTTTAAGCTGCTTCTTCATCAAGAGCTTCTCTCTGTATTCAAGCTCGTCATAGTATGCCCTCCTTTGCGCTCTGCTGAGCTTGTTCAGCTCACCTTTGGTCAAGGTTTTGAACGGAGGCAGCTCATCGTACTCAGATTCCTCATCCGACTCCACACACTCATCCAGATCGTCATCGATAGCATCATTTTCTTCATCATCACCAAACTGCTCAGATGGAAGTTTAATTTCGGGCCTTGATTGGAGTAGGGATGAGAGAAGGAATGGCAAAGGAGGCGATCTTAATCGGGCGGTGAAAGGTCTTCCCGGAGGAGTATCTTGCAATTTCAGCAAAGTATTTGCCTCGGCCAGAATTTTGGAGGCGAAGGACAAAAGCAATAAATGAGGCTTCCAGACCTGGCCATTCGGCAGAACCCTCTGCCCAGCTCTGTTTGTCCTGCAACCTGAGTGATTCTCAACCAATGAGACAGGGTTCATCAGCCGCATATCGCCAGCAGCCTGACGTATAGCCTGCTGGACGACGTGCGACCTCTGAGTCACAAACATGTCGTAACTCGTGGTTGTCCCATTGGGACCTTCGGGCGGAGCCGAACCAGCGTGGGTCAGAACGACTATGGCGTTGAACCAAATCGATGCCCCAAATGTTTCTGTTATGGTCCTCAAGAGGGGCATGTCTCCGAAATCCCGACTCTGCATATCCAATCTATCGAGATACAACACAATGTCAGGAGGCGTTTTCTTGATGAACTTCTTGACCTGACGGAGGGTTTTCTCATTCTGCCGCTGGTCTGACCAAGATGGGAAAAGCCCAGGCGTGTCGATTACACGTACCCGTATTCCCTGGACAGTCCCAACAATATCCTGCACTTTTTTCGTGCCAAACTGAAAAGCATCGGTGCCAAACATGGCCTCGTCAAATATTGAATTTATGGTTGCGCTCTTGCCGACACCGGATTTGCCGAGAACCATGATGGTGCACGTGAAATCCAAAGGCTCCTGTCCAGCAGCCTCAAGCTGCTCGGCCATGGCGCTAGCACGGTCAAAGCTGAAGGCAGCCACGCGGCTTCCACTCCGGCCCTGCAGCTGCTCAGCCAGGCCCAGCCTGTACAAGACCTGGGCCACGACAACATTGTGTGGGGTCTGGCCAAGCCTGTGGGCCAAACGGAGGAACTTGATGCGGATCATCTGGAGCTTCTCACGGGTCTCGTCATACTCCTCGGCCTCAGAACTTGTGGGGTCCTCGACAAGCTGGTTCTGTGCAGAGGAGACAGCTCCATTCACTCGAGGGTGCTGGACAACTCGGGAGGTGGGTTCTGGTAGAGGGGAGGCGCCCCCGAGGCCAGCTGGACGGGCAGGGGAAGGTGATGAGGTTGTATTGGCCGGTGGACTGTTGATGGCGGACTTGGGGCCACGTTCTTTGTTTTGAGATGTGGGGACAGGCAGTGGAGTAGTCTGCCTAAGGCCAACAGGTTGCGTTGTTACAGGATTAGATTTGATTTTCTGTGTTCTGATGGCTGATGTATCTTCAGGAACAGGTTCATGTACCTTAGAAGCAGTATCAGGGTCCGAAATGGATGAGATACCACCAGTACCAGGTGTGGCTTCTTTTTCCTTATTCCCAGACAGATTGATTTCCTTCCTCTCACCTTCTGCACCTTTGCATTCCTGTATTTGTGTTTCGATAGTGTTTGCGGATATTTCAGTACTAGTGCTGACAAGCTTGGGTTGCGAAGATCCAAAACTCTTTGATGGCAGTCCAGACGAGCTTAACGGAGGCTCAGCTTCTATTTTCTCCACGTTAGGTGTCCTACTGTCAAGGGCAGGATGCGAGTTAGTGTCGAGTCCCACACTTTCCTTAGCGTGATTAGAAACAGAAACATTGGGTGCTGATGTACCATGGTTTTGCTCATGGTCGGCATCCTGACCATCAGCTTTTTCAACTTCAGTAGATTCTGAATCTAGTTGCTTGGGTTCCATGCTATCATCACTGGTATTCGCAAGAGGGACATGGGGCCTCTCCTCCTGCTTATCAACATGATCCTCTTTGAGTTCAGAATGCAGATTAACTGATTTGTTGTCACACATGTCCTGCTCGTATACAGTACTGGATATAGCATTTGAGCCATTCTTATGCAGAGCATCCCCAATTGAATCGGACTCTGACGGACGGCCATCTCCAATTTCTTTCACACCACGGCCATCTCCAATTCCATGTGATGTCTCATGAATCTGTTCTTTCGGAATATCAGCAGCAGCATCTGCATCCATTATGTGTCCATGATTCAAAGAGCTCTCAGCCAAGTTCACATGGTCCAAAGAACCATTTTCAGGAATAACTGAACCAATATCATCACCTTCTACAATATTGGCATCTTGAGCTTCTACCATCTCATGAGAAAATGTTTCAACGTCAAGCTTCTCTGAGTCGGTCTCTGGTCTACTCAACTCATTAGGTTCCAGAGACCTTATCTTCTCAACAATTGGCTCTCCTATACTCTCTGTGTCCAAACTTTTTGCACTGCCAGATGTCAAAGCTTCAAGAAAGCTCTTCTTACCTGATATGTTGATCACAGGATTCTCATTTGAACCATCCAAATTCTCATATCCATCCTTTTCGTTCTCGGTTTCACTAGTAGTGCCAGGTGGATCAACAATTGCACTAAATTCATTTCTCACATCCTCTTTAGCACTATCATTGCTATCGGCAATACCATCATCCGTGAACCCATTTGTTTCATCCACCATTACTTTCTCCACTCCAACTTCTTTCTCACCGTGATTTTCCCCACCCTTCAAAATTTCAGGTTTCAACACAGCATCCTCCGAACTCTGAATTGCATCGGGAGCCACAGTCACATCTTCAACCTCATGAACTTCATGGACTAAATCTGAATCATCCTTATTATTCTCCTTCAAGGTGCCACTTAATTCGGTATTTCCATCTTCTGCCTTAGGGGAATTTTCCAGGTGAACAGCTGTGGGGTCTGCCACAGCAGCCTCTTCGAATACTTCATCCCCATCACGTTCCTTTGATGCATCCAAACTCAAGATCACATCTTCATTCACAGGTTGCTCTACTACTTCATCTGTGGCACCATTGTTTTCACCTACCTTGGCATGCTCAGCAATGCCATTGCCATTTTCCATCCCAGAACAAAACGAACTGCAACAGGCTGGACTCGCTAAAGGAGAAAATATAAGGAAACAATGTGTCACAAACCAAGAAGACAACAAAGCAACAAGATATTAGGAAAAATAATTACTATTAATCATTGCAAACAACTGCTTCATAGTTAACATAAACCATCACCAACACCAAATGTGTTTTTCACCGAAATAACTCATATGGAGATGTGATTACGTGCACAACTGATAAACTCTGTTCATTTGATGCCTAGATTAAGACATAACAAAGCCATTACTGCTGAAAAAAAAAAAATCACCTCCCACAAATACAAAACCTCAATATCCTCAAACCCCATTCATCATCAATTACAAAGAATCACACAAACCAAAAACACCACCACATCAGTTCTTCCATTACCGTTCAAAGTGTACTTATACATCAACAACGCCGCATCAAAACAGATCCCTAGCTAGGGTTTATCATAATCTATTGTCAAAGTAAACAAAAAACTATCAAAAATTGACTGTAAACGAAAAAAAAAATAAATCAGAACTAACCAGAAAATCAAATGAATAGAGATTCAGAACCTGCTTTTAGAGAGAGACAATCGATGATGCGTACGGCTGCAAAAAAGGAAATAATTAGCTATGTAGCTGCAGTATAGTCGTCGAATAAATAGGTAAATAAAAGAGCTGAGGATAGTTGGTGAAAAATAGGATAAGATGATATGGGGCGGGTTTACATGGGTTAATGGGTTTGGATCTCCGCTTGGAAAATGGTTACTTGGCGCTTGGCGGGCTTGTTAGGTGTAGACTTGTAGTGAAGTCCCATCACGTGTTTCTATTTGTTTGGCCACATGTGAACTCATTCACAGTTTTTTTTTTTAAAAAAAAAAATTAATAAATAAATAAATAAATAAATCAATCATAAAATTTGTTTGGAAAATTTAAACGGGTAATTCCTCTAAAATCCCTAATGGACATTTGAGTTTCCTTGTCAGTCCCCACTGTCTTTCTTTTTCCTCTGCACTCCCTAATGCATATTTCTCTTTCATCTCAACTCCCCATATATATACTAATATCATTATTATTCATTTATTTTTCATAAATCACAAAAATTGAATGTCAGGAAAAAGAAAAAAACACCGTCCCAATTCATTCTCCTCCGCCCCAGAAAACCCCATCTTCCCCTCTTCGCATTTCGGCAGGTGAAGGCGTCGCCTCCGCACCATTCCCCTCGCTTTCACCGGAAATTATAACATCGCCGCATTTCAATTTTCTCGTCGCAGTTCTCCGGGCCCTCTTCTCCCGCCTCACCTTCTGCCACGTGGCCTAGATCTTGGCGTCCACGGTTCGCCTCAGCGAGTCCACCAAGTTGGGCCCCCGATCCCTAATAGTGCCGGGTTTCGCAGGTTCGGGAAGCTGAGCTGTGCGTATCCCCATGGAGCTTGTACGTTGCCCGGTCGTAGGCATACGCGGCGGTCTGCGGCGTGCCGTAGGTGCCTAGCCACGCACGGACTCTGTTTTGTACCCATTTTCCCCACTGCCGTTGCCTCACCCTCTGTACATGTTGGTCTTGGTCGGGCCTGGATGCTTGAGGCCCGAGCCTGAATCAAGATCCGAAATTGGAATTGCGACCTTTGTGATTGGTAATGAGTTTACTTGATTGAGCTGATTGAACAAGTATTTTTGCACACTGATGAGCCCAGCGGCTCGAGAACCGGGCCTGATGGCATACAGTTCGATTCGTGGCAATTGGAGAAAATCGAGTCTAAGGTGTTTGATGAATAGCTTGTGAGAATGAGTTGTGATAAAGATAAACAATTTGAGAGGATGTATTTGGATTAGAAAAAGAATGATAATTTCTTGGATTTTTGTCAGAAAAAAAGGTGCTAAGAACTCATATGTTGAATTGCTTATGCCTCCATCGGTTATATAACACTAACAAACCTGGAGTTGTATTTTGTACAATTTACATTGTGTTTTAGCAGAATTATCTTGGGAATTAATTATACGTTAGCAGTGGATGTGGAATTGTTTAATTTAGGCGTTGTATTTTGTACTATGTAGCATATGCTTCTTCTGAGATGTAAATTGAAGAGAAGATTCCATTCATTACCTGCTTTTGGTTACTTTGGTAAATTTTTAGACCTTTCAAATGGGATTCTTGTAAAGAAGTACCAATTGAGAATGTATTTGTGCTTTAGACTTTTTATTCTTGCATATGATGACAATTAACTTCTGTATGAGTTGGTTAGGGTTGAATAATTTACATGCCTCATTATGGTTTAAGCTTTTATGTGAAACGGCCACCATTCTCATTTTTGCGAATGTAGGTATAATTGAAAGTTTGATGATTGTGTGAAATGATTAGGCATAAGAACTGCAAAAGAACAAATAAATATCACCTGTTTAGTTCACAGTAATTGTCATCTCATTGAATAAATAAATATCATCTGTTTAGTTCACAGTAATTAAACACAATAATGAACAAACACTATAAATTTTCATTTTATGGAAATAAATTTGTCATCTCATTGAATGATCATACATGACTACTCCAAATCTACCTATATGTTTTAACTTTAACTAATTATCAATCAAATCCGCGTCAACGATCCACGTGACATGGTAAACATGGAGGATTAAATAAATCACGATTACTAAAACGGTACCAGTTTGGACAGAAATAGCACCGCTTCTTCTTCTGCGTAGTACTTGTTTTTCATAAATTAGTACCAACTTTTGGTCAGCGAAAATGGACTACTTCAAATTTTACCTATATGTTTTCAATTCCACTTTTTTCATCCAAATCACGTGTGAACAATCCACGTGTCATGGTAGACATGAAGGATTAGAGAAATCGCGATTCTGAATAGTACCGATTTTGGGCAACATAGTACCGCATCTTATTCTGCGTGGTACTTGATGTTGATCGAATAGTACCTACTTTTTTTAAGACAAAATTGATTATTTCAATGCTGCTCAACATTTACAAAAAGTAGTACCAGTCATAGTGTAAGTCAATACCACATTATGAAAAGTTAGTACCAGGTATCTTGTCCCTAGTACCACTTGTAATGAACACATAAGAAGACCGAATTTCGGTCGCAAATGATGTTTATACGATTCATGATCACTCTGACATTAGTTTATATAAGATTTTCAATGTTTTTGATTGAGTTTAATCGCAAATTGGTCATGAACTCGATACACTAATTAGAAAATACTACTAATGGACTTCATTTCATTGAATGACACACTTCATCTCATAGAAATCATCATACATGACTACTTCAAATTCTACCTATATGTTTTCAATTCGACTTTTTTTCATCCAAATCACGTGTGAACGATCCACGTGTCATGGTAGACATGAAGGGTTAGAGAAATCGTGATTTTGATAATAGTACCGGTTTTGGGAGTATAGCATCTTATTCTGCGTGGTACCTGATTTTGATCGATTAGTAGCATCTTTTGTGAAGAAAAATTGATTATTTCAATTCTGCTCAACATTTACAAAACGTAGTACCAGTTATAGTGTAAGTCAGTACCACATTATGGAGAGTTAGTACCATATATCCTGTCCCTAGTACCACTTGTAATGAACACATAAAAAGAACGAATATTGTTCGGAAATGATGTTTATACGACCCATGATCACTCCGACATTAGTTTATATAAGATTTTAAATGTTTTTGATTGAGTTTAATTGCAAATTGGTCATGAACTCGATACACTAATGAGAAAACACTACTAATAGACTTCATTTCATTAAATGACACACTTCATCTCATAGAAATCATCATACATGACTACTTCAAATTCTACCTATATGTTTTCAATTCCTCTTTTTTTCATCCAAATCACGTGTGAACGATCCACGTGTCATGGTAGACATGAAGGATTAGAGAAATCGCGATTTTGATAATAGTACCGGTTTTGGGAAACATAATACCGCATCTTATTCTGCGTGGTACCTGATTTTGATCTATTAGTACCAACTTTTGTGAAGAAAAATTGATTATTTCAATTCTGCTCAACATTTACAAAACGTAGTACCAGTCATAGTGTAAGTGAGTACCACATTATGGAGAGTTAGTACCAGATGTCTTGTCCCTAGTACCACTTGTAATGAACACATAAAAAGACCAAATTTCGTTCGCAAATGATGTTTATATGACCCATGATCACTCTGACATTAGTTTATATAAGATTTTAAATGTTTTTGATTGAGTTTAATCTCAAATTGGTCATGAACTCGATACACTAATGAGAAAACACTCTAATAGACTTCATTTCATTGAATGACACACTTCATCTCATAGAAATCATACATGACTACTTCAAATTCTACCTATATGTTTTCAATTCCACTTTTTTTTCATCCAAATCACGTGTGAACGATCCACGTGTCATGGTAGACATGAAGGATTAGAGAAATCGCGATTTTGATAATAGTACCGGTTTTGGGAAACATAGTACCGCATCTTATTCTGCGTGGTACTTGATTTTGATCTATTAGTACCAAATTTTGTGAAGAAAAATTGATTATTTCAATTCTGCTCAACATTTACAAAACGTAGTACCAGTCATAGTGTAAGTCAGTACCACATTATGGAGAGTTAATACCAGATGTCTTGTCCCTAGTACCACTTATAATGAACACATAAAAGGACCGAATTTCGTTTGCAAATGATGTTTATATGACCCGTGATCACTTTGACATTAGTTTATATAAGATTTTAAATGTTTTTTATTGAGTTTAATCGCAAATTGGTCATGAACTCGATACACTAATGAGAAAACACTCTAATAGACTTCATTTCATTGAATGACACACTTCATCTCATAGAAATCATCATACATGACTACTTCAAATTCTACCTATATGTTTTCAATTCCACTTTTTTTCATCCAAATCATGTGTGAACGATCCACGTGTCATGGTAGACATGAAGGATTAAAGAAATCGCGATTTTGATAATTGTACCGGTTTGGGAAACATAGTACCACATCTTATTCTGCGTGGTACCTGATTTTGATCGATTAGTACCAACTTTTGTGAAGAAAAATTGATTATTTCAATTCTGCTCAACATTTACAAAACGTAGTACCAGTCATAGTGTAAGGCAGTACCATATTATGGCGATCTAGTACCAGATATCGTGTCCCTAGTACCACTTGTAATGAACACATAAGAAGACCGAATTTCGGTCACAAATGATATTTATACGATCCATAATCACTCTCACATTAGTTTATATGAGATTTGATATTTGATTAATTAAGTTTAATCGCAAATTGGTCACGAACTCAACACACTAATGGAAAAACACCTTAATACACTTCAACTCATTGAATGGTACCAGTTTCTACGAAAATAATACCTCTTTTTCTTTTACGTAGTACCTGTTATTGATCGATTAGTACCAACTTTTGTGAAGAAAATTTGATTATTTCATTTCTGCTCAATATTTACAAAAAGTAGTACCAGTCATAGTGTAATGCAGTACCACTTTATGGCGCGATAATACCAGATATCCTGTCCGTAGTACCACTTATAATGAACACATAGGAAGACCGAATTTCGGTCGCAAGTGATGTTTATACGACCCATAATCACTCTGACATTAGTTTTTATGATATTTGATATTTGGTTAATTAAGTTTAATCGCAAATTGGTCACGAACTCAACACACTAATGGAAAACCACTACTTATTACACTTCAACTCATTGACTGGTACCAGTTTTGACGGATATAATACCGTTTTTTCTTCTACGAAGTACATATTATTGATCAATTAGTACCAGCTTTCTGGAATGAAAATGTAATACATCGATTAAAACTTTGCAAAATTATTACATATATTGCAGTATAAAATGCCAGTATATTGTACAAAAAAATATTACTCATAAAGTGTCATTTACTACCCACTCTTTGGATTTTCAATCCATCATCTTTCATTTCTTTAAATGGCAATTATCTCTACAATATTTATTTTCTACAAACATGTCACCGAATCATGTTCTTCACATCCTCATCATCCAACAAACTAACACTCTTTTTTTTTTTCCTTTGGCGCAATATAGCATAGCACGACGGATTCGAAATTAACGTTCGGCCACCTCTTTGATATGAGAGTGTACACTTCGTCAAGCGTTGATCCAATGTGTATAAAGAACACAAACAATTCATTGTTGTACGTACAACTCACTTGTATATCACTTTGTGCCCCTTCCATGTATCTAACAATAATTGGATAAATAAAAAAAAAAAACTTCACATTTTCCAGGAAAATATGGTACAAAATAGTATTAAAGTGGTACTATATACACACAAACAGAGGTACAATAATCAATAGTAGTGGTACAATGATCATTCCCACCTTATTTTCTTGTTTTAGGGTGAATAACACATTACATAACCTAACAATAGCATCAATTTCGTATACATAAACAATAAATAAGAGATTTTGATCAATTTAATTGATTTAGGGTAAATATGAACAACAATTTTCAAAATTCAATCCTTAACAAATTAACCAAATATATACGAATTAAACATGATTTTTGGACTCCAAAATGCTCATATAATACATATATTACTTACTACTACAAATTTTGGCCGGAAAAAGCACGAATGTTGCCGGAAAAAATGAATTTTTGGCCGTACAAATTTGACGTCGGAATCACTTGTTTGGCCGGATTTGTTGTTGCCGGAGTTCTTCTCGTCGGATTTGGGTCGCCGGAGAGACCGACCTACAAAAAAAAA